TAGAGATTTGTATCAAAATGTAATGGTGATCCTTTGGGATTGTACTCACAAGAGTGTGGGAGGATCACATATTATCATTACTCTTATCAATTATAATAGTGATAAATAATTAAAATATTAATTAAATAGTTATTACTTTGTTTTGGGTAACCTCTACCCGGTTTTTCAATTAGATCAAGAGTTAGCATTTTTTAAGGTATATCAATGAGGTGATGTTAGTAGTAGAAATGAAACCATAACTTGGTGACTAAAGTGTAGAGGTACTACCACCGCAACCCCAACCTCTATCCCAAATAATTAATTCTTTAAGTATACTTTTCTATAAATTTTCTTTTCCGTTAAAAATATGATAATCACTTATCCAAACATAACATTCTTATAAACAGTTTCCAAGTACATTAATTAAGCGCCAAGTGGTTTGCAAACCACGGTGCTTTCTAAGATAGATATAGGGATGAGAAATGGATCGGGTCGACCCAAAAACTTGATGAGAGTCAACCGGACTGTGTTAAGGTCTGGACCTAAACAATGGACCACTTGACCCTAGTAGACATGGGAAAAGTTTCCATGATTCCCCTACAACATAGAAGTTATATCCTCCCTTTACCATCCAGCCGTTCAAGTTTGATCAAGAGAGTCACTCACCATTTGATTTTAGATTCGACATCTCAAATTATTTTATTTTTAAGTTTTTTTTATATAAATTCTATGAATATGAAATTTGGTATGTACCATCTTCTCATTGGGGTGCACCTATAAAAAATATTAAAAATAATTTTTCAATAAAATATAATGACCAAAATACCCCTTAAAATTTTTAAGGGTATTTTGGTCATTTTATTTTATTGAAAATATTTTTTTTATATTTTTCGCTAGTGCGAGTTTAATGGAGGATTGGACATCCAAAATTTGGTGTCAAATTAGCTTATAGAAAAAAAAATTAAAAAAAAAATATATAGAGACGTGACATTGTGATTGGGGCAATCTTAGCCCTCCATTCATAATGGACGGTTGGATAAAAAGGAGGACAGAACTTCTATACTGTAGGAAAAACATAGAAAGCTTGCCCACTATATATTAATACATGGAGCAAATCTATGAAAATTTTTGAAATTGACAGTCCAAAAATACGTTACAAAATATACTATTTCCAAAACTTGAAATCTATTTTTTTCTCATATCCATGCATCGAGATGATCAGCTTGAAGATATTTGAGCATCAAAACAACCTAGTTTGATTGTTTAGAGCCCTGGCTCTATATAAACTTTTCCCTATAAATAATAGTAACTATAGAGCATAAAATATTCAAAATAATTTTTATTTTTTATTTATTTAGAGGCCAACCCGACCGGACAACGTAGGTCGGATTTGGGTCTGTCCAATTGATTTGGACCCAACACGGGTCCTAGTTGGGTACAGACAAAACTTAAGACCTACCAACCTATTTCCAAGCCTAAATAGACATACTGGCGGGTTGATTTGTGCAACATGCTGCATACTAAGAATAAAAAGCAGAAATAGATAAAGATGTTTTTGTTTTTCCCAACAAAAAAAAAGAAATCTCTCTCGACCGGTTCCTATATAACTCGAAACACGACAGACGTACCCATCTCTCTCTCCTCTTTATCGATGTTGACGACCTTTTGAATACTCCAAAATTGATGTCTCTCTCCACTTTATCGATTTTTACGACTTTCTGTATACTCCAAAATTGACATAGCGAATAGATCCTCTCTCTCTTTCTTGAACGTTCTTTTTCTCTCTCTTGAATCCTCTCTCTTATTTAAATTTAACAATCCCGTTTCTTTTTTAAGAATGGTGAGTATCCAAAATCACCCATCATACAAAAATCTCATATTATGTAGAATTGAGATCGGTATCGATAAGTTTTTTTTAAAAAAATAAAAATCCAAAAAGATTTGAACTGTGGGATATAGCTCTTGGTTTTTGAAATATATGTAACACCGATACGAAGTTTCTTATTTGGTGTGACTCCTAACCCGGATGAAAGAGTAGAGAATTTGTGTGCCCTATTTAAGCCACCATATGAAAAATGTGATTTCCTTTAAAAAAAGATGCAAATTTCCCTATGCATTGACAATGCCTCCCTCCCTTAGAAGGAAGAGAGCTTCTTATGGAGAGAACATCACTGATGTGCCTCTTGTATAATGAAAGTCGGTTTCTTGTAGAGAAGCCAGTTCCCATGGAGATTTTGGGTAGCTTTCCCTTTTAAAGAGAAAAGTCATAGTTGCTCTCAAAGTTCTCCACCGAGCTTGGTTTCTTGTAGAGAAGCCGGTTCCTATAGAGATTTTTTGTAGTTTTCCATTTTAGAGAGAGAAAGTCATGGTTGCTTTTAAAGTTTTCTACCTGGACAATGGAATGGAGATGGTCTCTTTCTAAACAGTGGTTTAGCTGGAGATGGTCTCTTCTTGGATAGGTTTAGCTGAAGATGGTCTCTTCCTGGACAGTAGTTTAGCTGGAGATGGTCTCTTCCTGGACAGTGGTTTAGCTGGAGACGGTCTTGTCCTGGACAGTGGTTTAGCTGTGGAATAGAGATAAAAGGTAGGCGGTTCATGCTGAATGGGAGATCAGGTCTAAAAATGGGTTTGCTCGACTAGCTTTTGTCGAGGATTATAGAGAGCTCTTTGCCCCAAAATCTATGATGTTACTTTCATTGGTATAATAGATTTTAGTTTGCCGTGCCAATTTAGCCCTCTTGGGTGAATCATGTAAATATTTGTGTTATTTTGGTGTGTGTTTTATGCTTTATTTCTCATATTATGGGTCGTGCTCTCTCCTATTTTTTTATCTTGGTGGGGATCCGACATTTGGGATTGTTGTTTTTGCGTCTAAGAGGGTTCTTAAATCTTAACAAGTGGTGTCAGAGTGCATGGTTCAATACAAGGTTAGTGTTTATTCATTCGGTTGAAGAACAACACATGACAAAGTATGCGAACTTTTTATTTAAGTGGAGAAATATGATAGCAAACATTATTTTTAGCAAGAATAATGAAGGAATTTATTTGACAAAAAATGAAAAATTCATAAAAATAGTTTTCCCTTTTAAAAAGAGAAAGTCATGGATCCTGTCAAAGTTCTCCTCCTTGATGGTGGAATGGATATGGTCTCTTCTTTGTACAGTGGTTTAGCTATGGAATAGAGATGAGAGATCGATGGATCGTATTGATCAGGAGAGCGGATCTAAAAAAGTTTACTCGATTGGGTTTTGTCGAAGATTAGATATGTTATGTCCCAAAATCGTATTGATTGGGAGAGTAGGGAGAATTAACTATTTGATATAGAAAGGTAACTCTCTATCTCAAAATCTATTATGTAAATTTTTGTATAGTGGATCTATGATGTAACTTTCATTGGTATAACGGATTTCAATTTGATGTACCCGCCGATATAGCTCTATTGGATGAACACATAAATTTTGTATTCTAATGTGTGTTTTATACTTTATTCTCTCTTTTATTTTGTATTCTAATGTGTGTTTTATACTTTATTATCTCTTCTATTTTGTTTCTAGCTTAATAAATACAACCTTGGTGGGACCAACCCTTTGAGATTCCCAGTTCTTATATCTTGACCTAACTCCAAAATTAATATAGCAAAGCAACCCCTCTCCAGAATGTTCTCTCTCTTATTTGAATATAAGTACATAACAAAGCCATTTCTTGCCTCCCTTTTCTCTCTCTATCTCTATCTCTATCTCTCTCTCTAAATGTAATAGACTCCAAATTTGATGGGTGAATACTTGCAGTTGCATTAGGTGCCATGCCGCTACGCAATCGCTTACGTCTGCTGAAATAAATGGCCAAATAAAAAAATAAAAAAAAACGTCACTTCACAATCTAGAAAGTTGTAGAATTCATACTCTGATTACGTCTCTTTCCAAGATTTCTCTATTTGAAGGACTTAAAAACCCTGAATTTCTTTTAGCACCATTATCCATTCTTTTCCATTGTTTTATTTAGTACCAGTCTATTAGCGCGATGGACGGTAGGAAAATAATAGAAGAATAAAACAATGTTTACAATATTATATTCGGGATTGTGTACAAGGAGACCATTCCGTTATATTATTATAATATGACTAATTTAATAGCATCATCGTTAAACATAACATATTTATGGGAGTTGGTCAATTCCATATATGCAGTGTTCCTAAAATTCTGCTTTTCCTCTCTTCAACTCTCTCGGTAGCCCTAAAATTAGGGTATGGTACGACATGGTCTATGTGATATTTACACTTGAATACTGCATTAGCTCTTTTAAACTGTTCAAATTGAACCTTATTCTAACTCCAAAAAAAAAGGAATCCATCCCTATCTATGAGCCTCAAACTAATTTTTTTTATATTTATTTTTTATTACAATTTGTATTGGGATTAAATAAAAGAAAAGGTTTATATAGAGTCGAGGATCTAAACAATCAAATTAAAACTCACCTCAAAATTTTCACTAGAAGAGGTCTTTTGATGCCCAAATATCCTCAAATTGATCATCTCGATATGAAGATACATAGAAATGAGCAAAAAAAAATAGATTTCAAGTTTTAAAAATAGAACATCTAATAACTCATTATTGGACCGTTGATTTTCAAGATTTGTAAGTTTTTATAAATATACTCGATTTACATTATTTTTGAAGCTTTAAATTTTATAATGAAAGATGAAAATATATTTTAAGGATATTATAAAGATTTTTAGTATTGAAACTATATTTCTCAATACTATTTGAAGATGTGTTTTACTTTGATTGTTTAGAGCCTTTGTTCCGTACAAACCGCACTTTTAAATAAATTAAATAAAATACCCTTAAACCTTTTAAAAGTATTTTGGCAAATTTTATATTAACCTTTTATTTTATTTAGTGCACGCTGTGCAGATGAATCTACACCCAAAGTTTTTTTTTAAAAATAACAACAATCGCTCAGTCTCTACAAGACCATTTGCACGAAAAAAACTAAAAAGGGTAGGTTCGATATTGTATACAGCATAAGTAGTATTTATGTGTCCTCCAGCCTTTAAATTCATCTGTCGAGTCCACAGGTAATACTTCTCCATTGCTGGCCTCAACTTGGAACAGTACACAGCCAGGTAAAACTTCTTTTTGGTTTTTTCTTAACAGTAATGAAATTTAGTTCTATTTGTTTGGATTTTATCGATATTTTATTGTTTGCAAATCAGTTGGCGTCCTTTTTCTTAATTAAAACCACTTTTTATTGCTTAATTCATTTCTTTTTTTCGTTTTTCCTTTCTTGACGAGGAGAGGCGGTGAACCAGAACTGAATGCAACCTGGAATTTGAGTTCTTCCCAAAACCAATTTATCCCTTTTTTCTGGAATTAAATATCCCCATTTATCAACGTTTTTATTTTTTTGGGCGAAATATGATGTATTGTGTCTTTTTCTTTTTTTAGAACTTCTAATTGATTTTATTGAAATTTTTTTGGGGGAAATATGATTTTATTTATGTAGTTTACGTATTTTATTGATGCATTTTTTTACCTTTTTCCATCTATAGATTTCTATATTCTTTTTCTGTGATTCTCTCATGTGTTGGTGAAGATTTACAGTATACTCTGGGGTGTGGCCCGAATAGTTTGTATTGCTCACAACTTTTTGTAATTGACAAACTTATCCAGGAACCGTTTTGCTTTTGAGAACGTATTGATTAGTCCATTTTTAAGCAAAAGAGCTTTTGGGGACATTTATTTTCAGGAGGTAAATTTAGTAAAATGAACTTCTTTTGACAAATGGCATCCCATAAACACAATAAAAATAAAATGAAGTAAAAAAAGTGACAAGTTTTGAACAATTCTCAGGGAATATCAATTATCAGTGATTGAGAAAAAAAAGAAGAGAACTTTCTCAAAAATGAAAAATATCGGCCGAGAGCCGGCTCGCTGTTTCTTTTTGGTGTTTCTTGTACTGAAAAAATGAAAAATAGAAAACCCAATGGAAACAGGTGCGTCTTAGACCCTGATCGGCCACCTATACGCTCCGGGTGACTTGCTTATTTAGCTTCACTATTTACATAACTAGAAGGGTCTTTGTCCTTTTTATTAAAGAGAATTTTAAGAAGATACTTAAAAAAAAAAAAAAAGAGAGAGATAGAGAACGAAAGAGATGCTTTCCGACCCAGTTTGGTTGGGTTGGACGATTTCCAGCTCATTCCTAATCAGGTCCAAGTCTAAGTGGACCCAGACCCGGCCCGGCTGTACAAACCTGGACCCCAGGTTGGTTCGACATAATGCGATTGTCACCTCATCATATGCAGATTTCTACAGTGCACTTTCCCATATCTAAATTGTAATAGCAATTTATGTAGTTCCATGTCAAGATGGCCCATGAAGGTAGTGTAACTAGAATTATTTGCTTTTGCTAACCACTAGTTATCATTGATACACATGCAGTTTCATATTAAGAAGTATGATGGGTTCCAAATGCTTGCTACTGTCAGTCTTCCTCATACTCATTTCAATCCATGTCTCAGTATCCCTCAAGACCCAGGAACCCAACCTCAAAACCTCTGTCTTTTTATCACCCAAATTTATCCTAGGACATGGTCATGTCCAAAATAAATTTTACTTAAATGTAGACTTTCCAAAGGGCCACATTGCCCTTAAAGAGTTCGACGCAGAGGTGATCGATGAAGCCGGAAATTCCATTCCACTCCATGAAACTTACCTTCACCATTGGGTAGTCATGAGATACTATGGTCTATTAAAGAATGTTTCCAAAGACCCAGAATCTGAGACCGAATTGAAGTCCTTTATATGGGTGAGGAATGGTGGTGTGTGTCAAGAGACACTAGGCCAATACTTTGGCCTCGGATCTGAGACTCGCCATACACGGACGAGCATACCCGACCCGTATGGTATTGAGGTTGGGAATCCTACACTTATTCCTGAGGGGTATGAGGAGAGGTGGTTATTGAACATTCATGCGATCGATACGAGAGGGGTTGAGGACCGAGCTGGGTGCACTGAATGCAGGTGTGATCTTTTTTGTCCATGTTTTTGCTCTCCCTCTATGTTTTTTGTCCTCTCTTATTTCTTATTTCTCAAATTGCTATTTCAATGCAAAGTTCTATGCAGGCAAAGTATACTATAACCCAATGGGCTATGGAGAATACATGGGTGGGTTGTCACTGTTGGATGATATGTTGGATGGTTATGGGAAAGGATAGTAACATGTCAGAATAGGAAATGACACTTTTGATCTGTCCCATTCTCTCCATCACCATCCATCATTTTATTGAACGGTGATGGCCTTATAGACAGTTTTTTACACTTACAAATATCCCATCCATGACCACCAATTATTCGTTCTATCTTGAATAATTATATAAAAAAAGCATATTAACCTGCAAAAGATGACTAATAGACTAGTGAATTCATGTATCCTTTTCATACAAAAGGTTGGCATGACCACTTTATGAATAAAGAGCACCTTCATGCCGTAAGCATCATATCATCCATGTTCCTGTTAATGGCGTGCCCAACCTTCTCCTTATATAGAGGAAATGGATCAAACACATTCATATAGGACTAAAACCACATAGATAACTTCTAAACATGCCCAGAGTAGTAATGACAGATAACATTAAATGAATATTGAGTTTAGATTTTACAAGAGATGCATATTTTGGGATTCAAATTGATTTCCCAATTTGGTGTTTTGGTTAAATATCATCAACTCTTACTTTTTACTTCTATGGGTACTGTAGTAAGGTGATAAAGTTTTACTGATAATTCAGTCTAGAGAATTACAATACGAATGGTACCCAGAACAAATGTAATTCTGCCCAAAAAAGCTGAGCGATATGCATAAAAATGATACACATTCTATGTGGGTAAAAGGTGTTTCCCACAAGTTGAACGATTCAATTCCAAATAAACAAGAAATTGATACTGAATTCCAAACACTACCAATAAAAAAAAAAAAGATACATAAGCCAAATGCAATCTGTTTTCATCAAGTCTAATAGCGACCTCAAAATGCGAAATCGCCATCATTGATATCTGGTTTTGATCTCGACTTGCCAGTAGTTATTTCAAGGGTTTGGCTTAGTGATTGGGGCGTATTGGCTGGAACAGGATGGTCCAAATTTGGAAATCTCATTTAACTCCACAAAAAAAAGCTGCATCATCATTGTTAAGATGATTTATGACCAACGTATTCTATGTTTTTGTCATCTTTATCAGAATTTTGTTGTATTTTTCAAAAACTGTTTATAGGTTTGCATTAGTTATCAAGAGCAACACAAACATTACTCTGAACCCTATCTATTATATATCATCTTTAGAAGAGGAAAATCTTTTAATCTTTAGTGAAGCTCAGATCATAGAAAGAGAGAAGGTTGAAAATTTTGTGGAATTAATATTTGGATTTCATGTCAAAAGGGAGAATCGGTAACTTTTCAAGACTGAAAATATCTTGCACTTAGAAGTTCACTATATTTCTCATTGACGCTTTACCTGAATAAAATTTAATTGTGCAGGTGTGATCTATATAATGTGACTAAGGATGGTAGAGGAAAGCCTATCAGAGATAATTACAAGGGGGGTTTGAGATGCTGCTACCATGGCACAAAATGCAAGCTCAAGGATGGTTTCAATGGTTTGGGTGCAAGGGGCCTGTACTTGAAATACACTGTAAAATGGGTGGAATGGGATAATAGCATTGTGCCTGTTAAGATTTACATATTTGATGTTACCGATACTGGGGAAAGGATTGCAAATTCAACCCGAACCAATGAGCGAATTGGTTGCCAGGTATATATACCCTTTTCTTCTAATTAGTACTAAAGAGAAAATTTACATTTATTGTGAAGTCACAAACTGAGAATGATATATTCATGTCTGTAGCTCAATTGGTATGTTGAGCATTTTGCCAATGGAAAGACCCTGATCTGAATCACATGAACTTTACAGAAATTAAAATTACTAACTAGTTAACAAACAGTAGGCATTTAATTCTATTTTTTCTAAGAGGCTAAGGTGTTTGTGAATTTCTCTTTTCCAGGAAAGCAAAGTTGCATGGGAGGACTCTACATATTGACATATAGAACTGATTTTAGTAATTGTGCAGGTGGAATATGATGTTCAATCTTGTGGTTCACCCAAGTGCGGTGATGACAGGAAAACCAGTATTGTGATACCACATGGTGGAGATGTTATTTACGGTGTGGCACACCAGCATAGTGGTGGAGTGGGATCTACACTTTTTGGCCAGGTGAAAATCCATTCTTTCTAAGACTTCTTTGTGAACAATATAATAGTCAATATAGGGAAGAAAGGTCTCCAAAAGCATGTTATAGACCTTAGGGCTCGCCGTAGTAACTGGGCTTGGGCAAGGAGTCCCAAGCCGGAGCCTGAGCCAAGTTTTTGAACATTGATTCCTCTACAAGGACAATTAATACCAATATTTTAGAGATACACCTCTGAAAATTATGAAGACCATTCTTCTTCATCTTCATCATGATGGAATCAAATCTCCTTTCAGTCAGAAGGATATCCCTTTCCAGATTGGTTGAGCAACTATCTCCCCGAGTGATTTAAAACTCAAGTCCAACTCAAACTCAGCAGCCTGCCAAGTTCAGATGAAAAACCTTGGGGATGAGTCTAGCCAGTTCCCATGGTCTTTTTAATACCATTGGCTCTACCTGCTATGAACCTTCTCCCTTTCTCTCTCTACCCCATCACCCTCGCCTCCTTTCTCTCTCTACCCAGGACCCTCCTCGCCTCCTTTCTTTCTCTACCCATGACCATCCCCCTCTTTCTATCCTATTACTTTTCTCCCTTTCTCTTTCCACCCCATGAAAATATCCTTTTCTCTCTCTACCCTGTTACCCTCCGCCCTTTCTCTCTTTACTTTTTTCCCTTTCTCCCTTTACACCCATCAACCTCCCCTGTTACCCTTTATTTATAGGAGTAAATAATGGATAATCCCGCTTTCATCTTCTATGGAAATGAGAGTTGATGGGATTAAAAGGAGAAACAAAAGTGATTTACATCTTGGGGAATAAGTGAAAAAGAAAAGAGCACTTTTGAGGAGGGCAAAATAGGGAATAGAGGGTTCTTCGACCGATCTACATCTTTTTCCCTATTTTTTAAGTGCTCCACCAAGTCTCGCTAGGACTGCCATGTCAGTTGCCTGACTCGGACTTGGTACCCTAGCAAGTCCCGTCACTAGTCTATTGTTTAAAACACTGATCTATCGACTTTTGTTGTTGAATTGGTTACATCTTACCAAAGAGCTTCCCTAGTGATACCTTTGAGAGGCTCAGCTTTGATGTCTAAGAAAAATTTTTAGAGGATTCACATGCCTCAACTCGAAGATAGCGTTCGAGTTCTTACTTCATAGCCTAAGCAGCTACTCTTAGCATCACTACTTAGTATTCAATCATTTGCAAAATAAGGATATGAAACTTGGCAAGACATAGGTGAGTCCACTATTTCATTAGGCGGAGAGAGGTACATAAGAAACGTAATTGCCTTATAAGTTCACTGCCCTTCTACATAATCTTTTCTTTTTTCCTTTTTAAATTAAGAAAAAAAGCCGTAAGCTCTAGAATGCCCAGATGGTACTAAGAGAGAGAGAGAGAGATGCCACTTCGAAACTCACAAACCATGCTTTTGATTATAGGATGGCAGAGTTATATGCAATTCCATGCCAACTTATGGGAAGGGAGAAGAGGCAGGAAATGAAGCTGGTTACATTGTAGGGATGAGCACTTGTTATCCTGAACCAGGCTCTGTCAAAGTAAAGGATGGGGAAACATTGACACTGGAATCAAGGTACAGTGGTGCTACAATGCACACTGGTGTCATGGGCCTATTCTACATTTTGGTTGCAGAACCCACCGGCAATTCACTAGCCTCTATTCAAGTAAGGCAGCTTTCTCTCTAAGCTTCATGGATCATTCTTTCACGTTTTGCTTGTTAGAAAAGAAAAAAGAGACAAGAGTAGTGTTTTAACTATTGTAAAAGGTCTTTTGATCATTGCTTAGATGGCGAACTTGTTTTTATCAAAGCAAAAGTAATGTCTATTTTCTAGCGCATACAGTTACAGCACGCTATACACTTATTCCTTGAGCAAAAGACCTGCTTAGGAGGATTGTCATGATTTGGGATTTTGGGACACAAATTAGAATCATTTCAGATGAGTATTTTCAAAAAAATACAAAATAAAAAGTTGCCTATTGAGATCCCAAGCACATTGATCTGACCACCCAATTAGCAGGTTATTTTTCATGCAAATAAAGAGCGATATGAAATTGTTGTTGTCGTCGGTGGTGGTGATGGTGATGGTGCTGCTGCTCTTGTTGTAAGAAAAGAAGACCAAAATGCCTTCTTTCTTTATGTTTGTTAAAATGTTTTACATGCTTTCAATTTGGCTAAGTTATTTGTCATGCTTTCATTTATTTATTTTGCATATTATAATATAAAATTTCAGGAAGTATTTCAAGAATTATCACGTAATCAGGGACTAGGAAAATATGTATTTTTTGTTTGCACAGTGAGAATAATGACCTTTACTTGTTTTTTATGTTTTCCTTAAACTAATTTGAAATAAATAAATTTATTTGCAATTGTGTATATATCAGTCTAAAAGAAAAAATAGATTTAATTCCGATATCTGAACTAATGCTAGATGTGAGTTTTGAACATATGTAGAACGTATAAGTGAAAAAACATATAGAAAATAATAATATAGAGAAAATAATTTTCTTTGACATTTCTAAAGAATTTTTAGAAAATGCATGTTTGTGTAAAATTCCTAGGAAATGATCTCAGTAAGTGGGGCTATCGAATGGCTCATGCGGTCACAAAGCGAATCCAACCTTTGTCCCAGTTCAAATCCAAGACCTGGGTCAGGTCTGGGTTCTGGACCCTTAACCTACTCAGTTAATTCGTCGGATCTGGGTTGAACAGTCCCAGTATGGTTCAAGTCCAGGTCGGATGCTGGGCCGATCAAGTTGGATCCAGATGGAGGGAATCGGAGCCAATCACAACCCTATCAATAAGAATTAATCAAGAATGAGAACTGTAGTCTATATGTATGAGTTGATTAGTATACATTGAGAGCCAACTTCTTCTATTGACTGTTATTGTTTGGTGTTTCTTGATCTTGAATTTCCATTTGCAATTTGCCAACTGTGTCATTGTTTGGTGTTTCTTGATCTTGAATTTCCATTTGCAATTTGCCAACTGTGTCATTGTTTGGTGTTTCTTGATCTTGAATTTCCATTTGCAATTTGCCAACTGTGTCATTGTTTGGTGTTTCCTGATCTTGAATTTCCATTTGCAATTTGCCAACTGTGTCATTGTTTGGTGTTTCCTGATCTTGAATTTCCATTTGCAATTTGCCAACTGTCATTGTTTGGTGTTTCCTGATCTTGAATTTCCATTTGCAATTTGTCAACTCTTCCTAAAACTTTACTCATGACTTTGTACTACAACATTTGCAGGGTGTGCAATCTGTTCAACAAGCAAAATTGAATGTATATTTTCTCACATTTGTTTTGGTTGGAGTGGCTCTAGCCTTGGTTCTTGGGTTTGCTTATGTTCTCAAGACAAAAGAAGAGGAACAAGCTTATGAGTCCATTAATGGCCAGCAGCCCTATGCTCTTGATGCCTAACTCATGGTTTGCTTTAGATATTTGATAGTCAATGCCAAAGTCTCAATATGTAATTAAAAATAATGGAAAGCTTATAGTTGTATACTGCATTGCATGGTCTCAATGAGATGTCTTATTTCTATGAAGCCTTAATGAAAAATAAATAGTTGTGTACTGCATTGGATGGTGTCAATGAGATGTCTTATTTCTATGAAGCCTTTGAATATCTTTTAATTGGCTTAGATTAGTGCAGGTTTCGGAGGGACCCCACGTTGCATTGGCTAGAGGCATATCATGAAAGTTTGGATCATCTATTATATCAATTATTTTAAGTTTTCAATTAAATTATTAATCAATTTTTTATATAGGATGAGATAGCAATTTTCCTTCTTTTCTTTTCTTTTTGTGGAATTTGCAAGTCATTTTTTAGCGGGCTCCCACCTGTTGTATTACAAGTGAAAAAAGGAACTACAACAGAAAGTGATTTGCAGGTGAAGTTGGTTTACAGTGCTTGACATGAGCGTTATGTTACAGGGTCCGAAACGAGTTGTGATGCCCCAAATGGCAAAAGATATACTTATTGGGCCCATAGTGCCCATAGTGGATGTTTTTGAGAGAGAGAGAGAGAGAGAAAGAGGTTGAAGATGTCAGGATTACAGGATCTGGCATGAGTTCTGATACCCAAAAATGGTAAGAGGAAGAACTTAGAATTAGGGCCATAGCGAATGGGTTGAGAGGCAAGGGGATGGAGCAGGGGATTTTATTAAATTCGAAAAAAAAAATTAAGATACCCAAACAACTATGTGAGACGAGGAGGGAAAAAAATCCAAATTGTTCTCATTGTATATCTCATAAACTTGCAATTTTTGAACAATGAGCATTTTCTATTAGACATTTAAACTTATAAATATATGTGAAATAGATAGGTAAATGTAAAATGAATGTCGTATTTACCAATAAACTATCCACGTGTCAGTGATCTGGATCGGGAATAATTAAGTTTTAAAGCACTGTGCCGAAGTATTAAAGTGGACGGCTCCCTTTGCTAAGGTTTGCATGAGAAAAGGCTTAACCTCTTAAAGTGGCATCTCTCTCACCCTCTGCCCTGAGAAAGATGGACCAGCCTAGTTTCGGGCTGCGTTTGGGCACCATGTATGACCTGGGCAGTGCCCAGGTCTAATAGCTCGGGTGCGGCCTGGCTAAAGAAATTCAAGCCAGGCATGGTTCGAGTTGGCATATTGGCTACCTTTCAGCCTCTTGCATGTGGGCTTTGGATCATGCACCCGAGCTATAATTTTTGGACCAAACCCGCTCCAAATTAGCTTGTTTGACTGTCTTTTTTGCCATATGCGTTTAGCCTTCCGGTAAAGCAGGTTTCTAGTTTTGGTTCTGGTGCTGGTTGTCTTACACAACGTTCTACAAATAGTTCGAGCACTGAATCTAATATGGTTTTCTTTTTATTTTTTTATTTTTTTGGGTAATTCAATGGAGAAGGGAGGCTACTGCCCGTTTTTTCAAGTAGATTTAGGAGTTAGTATTTGTAAGGTATTAAGTAGGGTAGTGTTAGTAGTGGGAATGGAAACCACAACGTAGTGACTAGGATGTGGGGTAGTACCACCACGACTTCAGCTCTATTCTCGAAAAAGTGATAAGTCAAGGGGATTTGAGCCCCTACCCTTTGGTGAGGATTGAGTCAGACACCTCAACATGGGGCTCGGCAATACTTTTTCTTTGGAAAATTCTCCTTTTAGTAAATCCTCCCACTTTCGAAGGAACTGTGAAACATCACCTTGCAGTGTGCCCACAAGATAATCGAAAAATCTATTAGTGGTCTATACAGGATTGTTTGCTATAACAATAGTCATAGATTGTGCCCATTCACTGATAAATTGATTGTATTCAGAGAAGAGAACATCTTTTATATCTAAATATGTTCCAGTTACTGAAACATATTGTTTGTTTAGATCTTCCCATCTGTTATTTACAGTGGGAATTGTTTTTTCAGAGGCTGTAAATGTTTGATGTTTTTCCTTAGTAGCCTGACAGAAGTCTTCTTTCTCTTTTTGAAAATTTTCGAAATTTTCTTTTTGAAAACTTCTCTGGTATTCTTTCCCGTTCTTGGGCCGAATACCTTATGGTTTCAGGGTTAGAATCTAAGTGATCTGGCTCTTCAACTTTTCTTTTTCCTTTAAAATCTGAAGCTGTTTTTTCAGCTTTGTTTTCTAAATCTGATTCTGTATCAGATTCGATTTTTACTTTGAAAACCGAAAAAGACTCATCTTCATCTATGTTTAAGATGAGATGATAATTGTTTTTTTATCATGAGTTTTTCATTTTCAGAAAACAATTTTTGCATACTTTTTTGAAGCTTAGATCTTTCTTCAAAATCAGTTTCTTTGATATACAGGGATTTCCAGTATTCAATGATGTCTTTTATGACTTTGAAATCATTATATTTTTCTTCTAAAGTCAGGATTTCAGTCCCAAAAACTCAGGGTTCAAGTCTATATTATTTATAAATCATAAACTATCTACCTTAGTTTCTACCTTAGAAATCTTTTCCGAAATTTTTTGTTGATTTTTAGAAATATTATTAAACCAGTGGTTGCAAAAATCAAAAAGACTATTTACACTCCTACTAAGATTTGCAAATTTTTTTTTTTTGTTTTTATCTAAATGATATAAATGTTCAAAATTATTTTGATCTAATTTATTTTCTTTAGCTAAGCAATCTATTTCTCCCATGTTGTTTTTCTTGGCACCTAAAGCCCTCTTGTGATAAAAAGTTTCTTTTGAACTAAAGAACTTAAAGTTCGAGAAACCACATACAGGCGGCGTATGGGTTTTAGAAAAACTGAAAGAAATAAAATTTGCCTTGCTTAATAAATAATTTAAATTTAGAATTTGGGTGTGAAATAATTTAAATCTAACTCTTTAAAAAAGATATAAAATTTGCCTTGCTTAAGAAAGATAACTGCACCAAACTTCTAAAAAACAATTTAGAATTTAGGTGTGAAGCAAAAAGAAAGAAAAAGGAATTTTTCAACAAGAAAAAATTTCGTTCGAAAAATGGAAAAAGGGAAAGATATTCAACAAGAAGAAAAAGTATGTTGTTAAAAAAAATAACAGCAAATTAAAGAAATCATACCGTTGATACATCTGCAACGACGACAGCACATAACACCTAATTGTCCCAAAAAAGGGAAAAATTCCAAAAAGATGATCAAAATGCTTGATGACAACAATATTGAAATCTGCTTTGGAGAAGAAATCTTCGAAGATGAAATTGAATTTGAAGTGGTCTTTGAATCTGACAGCGAGTCAGAGAAAGAAGATGAATATATTTTCATGATGCGTTCAGAAGAAAACTCATAAAACAATTATGAGATTTCTGAACAAGTTGTAAAACTCGGTGATATAATTCAAGAAGAATTTTTCATCGATGAGGAAAACATTGAGAAATTAAAAAATCTCATAAGGGAAGAAATCTACAGGATGTTGAAATTCCAATTTTGGAATATCAGCCATTTTGAGCGCTTCAATGGAAACACCACTGCAAGAGCAACTGAAAATGGATATGTAGAAATTTTTATTTTTGATAAAGCAAGATTTCCAAAATGATCAAAAAATTTCCAAAGTTGAGATACATGCACATAGGCATCATTTTGATTGAAATCACAGCACATTTCAGACAGGGAATTGACACACCAATCCTTGTTGTGGTTTTAGACAAAAGATTCAATGAGTCTATTAAAGCAATAATAGGAGGCATTCAATCTAATCTTGTCACTGGAAAGAATTGGTTTAAAATAAAACCAAATTATTTCATTTCTATTCATGATAAAAACATTCAGGATAGTGTGAGAATTATGATTTAGACCAAAAACATTGGCATGAAAAACAAAAACGTTGGCATGAAAGACAACAGTTTCGATCTTGCAATAGAGTGGAAAGCCATTCACGAACTTACAAGCAAAACTAAAACTTCAACAAAAAATATTGATAACAGATTTGTCGAAATTTTCGAACCATGAAATTTTGATAACGAAATCCAACCTCGTTTAATCAACTAGTATCAGAGCTTGTGATAAGACCTTATGCTCAGAGCTTTTAGTTGTTGTTTATATATATGAAGCGAAGTTTGCCATCTCTTTGGTAAGATTTAAATTTCTTTGCTTTTATTTATCCTTACGATGTTCATATTTAGTTTTAATTTGACTTAAATTATTTCTTAAGCAAGGCAAATTTTATTTCTTTCATTTTTTCTAAAACCCATATGCCTGTGTGTGGTTTCTTGAGCTGTCAAAGCCATTTAGTCAGGAGTGCATTTAGGCTGTTTAGTTCAAAAGAAACTTTTTATCACATGAGGGCTTTAGGTGCCAAGAAAAACAACATGGCAGAAATAAATTGCTTAGCTAAAGAAAATAAATTAGATCAAAATAATTTTTTTGTATCATTTAGATAAAAACAAAAAAAAAAGATATTTCAAGTCTTAGTATGAGTGTAAATGGGCTTTTTTATTTTTTTAACCACTGGTTTAAAAATATTTCTAAAAACCAACAAAAAATTTTGGAAAAGATTTCTAAGGTAGATAATTTAGGATCTATAAGTAACGTAGACTTTACCCCTGAGTCAAAAAACTTATTGAAAAATTTTGAACAGTCTTTAAATGAAAATAATGCTTTAAAAAGGCTTATGTACCATGTAAGTCGCTCTATTTTAGGACTGAAATCCTGACTTTAAAAGAAGATTATAATAATTTCAAAGCCATAAAAGACATCCTTGAATACTGGAAATCCCGGTATATCAAAGAAACTGATTTTGAAGAAAGATCTAAGCTTCAAAAAAGTATGCAAGAATTGTTTTCTGAAAATGAAAAACTCATGATAAAAAACAATTACCATCTCATCTTAAACATAGATGAAGATGTGTCTTTTTCGGTTTTCAAAGTAAAAATCAAATCTGATACAGAATTAGATTTAGAAAACAGAGCTGAGAAACAGCTTCAGATTTAA